ATTTATTAGAAACAGAAACTTTTTGTAACATTACATTATAAATGTCTTTACTGTCATTTTAAACAATTTAATGCACACTTGCTGAATAAAAGTATTAATTAAAGGGGACCTATTATGCAAAATTCACTTTTACATGGTATTTGAACATAAATGTGTGTCGGCAGTGTGTGTACACAACCACCCTGTAATGGTAAAAATCCACCCACTCCTTTTTTTATCCACATAAATCATAGGAAGTGTCTCAGAACAAGCCATTTGCAGTTTTGTTTGCAATGTGACATCACAAATGTTTAGGCCCCGCCCATGACTACCCTATTAGCATAGACCCTGCCTTGAATGAGCTGTACAGTCAAGCATTCAAGTGAGAAATGTATTCTTATTAAAGCTACTAAAGTTATTCAATCAAGAGCAGTGAGTGGTTTTCTGTTTTTCTTTGGTTTGATTGATTTATATTAACAGCATCTATAGCAGAAGGTATTGTGTATTACGCTGCCTTCACTTTAATACACAGATCTAATAGTCCACTCAAACATGATATGATAAATTATCTGTGGGGTATTTTGAGCTGAAACTTCACAGACACATTCTAGGGACACCTGAGACTTATATTACATCTTGTAAAAATGTGCATAACAGGTCCCCTGACCCCCAAATCATTGAACAGTAGTTAAGAGGCTCAGTACATTATAGTGTGTGTGTATGTGTGTGCAGGCGTATGCACCTCACTGGTGGTGGAGGAAGGCAAGACGTATCCGGCAATAGAGAGGCCGTGACATTTCTGGAGAATCTTCCAAACTTTTTGGTAGAAGCCCATGGGCACCCGGTTAATGGCCCCATCTAATCTGCGTCTCCTCAGCCACTGGCCCTGGCGCTCCTCCCACTGCAGGTGTGAGTCGCCTGTACCGGTCGGAGACAGGATCCCACTGGGAGTGGAGGGGCTGCTGCATCGCTACAGACACGCATACATTTCCATTATCAGTATATGTACAAAGGCAGAGCTAACAATGTGGGCCGCCGGTTTAAAAGTGACATCTCTATTTACCACATATACTGTCACATGGTTAAAACACATGCTTAAGGTTTAGTAAGCAAGAACTAGGACAAACATAGCTAAGGATGTCATAATGTCAGCCCATGCTAAGTGAGTGAAATGACCACAACAAGACAAGACTGAATGTTGATGCATATTACAGATGTTAATTTGCTGTTATGGCTGGAAGTTTGTCCCATTTCAACTCGGATAACTAATCTGAAGCACTGAAAAAAAAAATCAAATAAATTAAAAAATTATATATATATATATATATATATATATATATATATATATATATATATTAGGGCTGTGCAAAGATTAATTGCGATTAATCGCATCCAAAACAAAAGTTTGTGTTTATATAATATATGTGTGTGTGCTGTTTATAATTATTTTGTATATATAAATACACACACTTACATGTATATATTTAAGAAAATGTGTTATTCATATATTAAATATGTATATTTGTATATAATATAGATTATGTATTGACATATATACAGTATTTACATGGAAATAATTCTTAAATATAGACATCCATGCATATGTATTTATATATACAAAATAATTCTACACAGCATACACACATACACTCACCGGCCACTTTATTAGGTACCCCATGTTAGTAACGGGTTGGACCCCCTTTTGCCTTCAGAACTGCCTCAATTCTTCGTGGCATAGATTCAACAAGGTGCTGGAAGCATTCCTCAGGGAGTTTGGTCCATATTGACATGATGGCATCACACAGTTGCCGCAGATTTGTCGGCTGCACATCCATGATGCGAATCTCCCGTTCCACCACATCCCAAAGATGCTCTATTGGATTGAGATCTGGTGACTGTGGAGGCCATTTGAGTCCAGCGAACTCATTGTCATGTTCAAGAAACCAGTCTGAGATGATTCCAGCTTTATGACATGGCGCATTATCCTGCTGAAAGTAGCCATCAGAAGTTGGGTACATTGTGGTCATAAAGGGATGGACATGGTCAGCAACAATACTCAGGTAGGCTGTGGAGTTGCAACGATGCTCAATTGGTACCAAGGGGCCCAAAGAGTGCCAAGAAAAATATTCCCCACACCATGACACCACCACCACCAGCCTGAACCGTTGATACAAGGCAGGATGCATCCATGCTTTCATGTTGTAGACGCCAAATTCGGACCCTACCATCCGAATGTCGCAGCAGAAATCGAGACTCATCAGACCAGGCAACGTTTTTCCAATCTTCTATTGTCCAATTTCGATGAGCTTGTGCAAATTGTAGCCTCAGTTTCCTGTTCTTAGCTGAAAGGAGTGGCACCCGGTGTGGTCTTCTGCTGCTGTAGCCCATCTGCCTCAAAGTTCAACGTACTGTGCGTTCAGAGATGCTCTTCTGCCCACCTTGGTTGTAACGAGTGGTTATTTGAGTCACTGTTGCCCTTCTATCAGCTCGATCCAGTCTGGCCATTCTCCTCTGACCTCTGGCATCAACAAGGCATTTCCGCCCACAGAACTGCCGCTCACTGGATGTTTTTTCTTTTTCGGACCATTCTCTGTAAACCCTAGAGATGGTTGTGCGTGAAAATCCCAGTAGATTAGCAGATTCTGAAATACTCAGACCAGCCCTTCTGGCACCAACAATCATGCCACGTTCAAAGTCACTCAAATCACCTTTCTTCCCCATACTGATGCTCGGTTTGAACTGCAGGAGATTGTCTTGACCATGTCTACATGCCTAAATGCACTGAGTTGCCGCCATGTGATTGGCTGCTTAGAAATTAAGTGTTAACGAGCAGTTGGACAGGTGTACCTAATAAAGTGGCCGGTGAGTGTATATTATGTAAACACTTTTATTTGGATGCGATTAATCGCAATTCATTTTTGCACAGCCCTAATATATATATATATATATATATATATAATTATACACAGTGCACCCACATATATTATGTAAACACAAACTTTTATTTTGGATGCGATTAATCGCAATTAATTGTTTGAAAGCCCTAATATATATATATTATCTAGGGCTGTGCAAAAGTTAAATTGCGATTAATCGCATCCAAAATAAAAGTCTGTGTTTACATAGTATATTTGTGTGTGCTGTATATAATTATTTGTATATATAAATACACACACATGCATGTATATGTTTAAGAAAATGTGTTATTCCTATATAAAATATTTATATTTTTATAATGTAGATTATGTATTTATTTATATATACAGAATTCAAGCGCAAATAATTCTTAAATATATACATGCATGCATAGGTATTTATATATAAAAAATAATTATATACAGCACACTCAAATATATTATGTAAAACAGACTTTTATTTTGGATGCGATTAATCGCAATTAACTTTTTGCACAGCCCTAATATATACATATACATATATATATATAGGAGGGAAAAGTATATTTAACAGTGGAGAGAGGGAGTTAACGGAGAGTTTTTTTGTTTTTTTGAGTTACC